TTGTTGGCATCGTAACATTTCCCTGTTTCCTCTAAGCTTAAGTCCAGGCTTTTCTTTCTTTTGCTCAATTTGGCTAACGGTCAATTCTGTTTACCTTTTTGAAGAGCCAACTCTTTGCTTTCATTTCATTGATTTCTGTCCTGCTTAGTTCCCTGCTACTTTTGAATTTGAGTCACTCGTATTTTCCCAACGTTTTAAGGTTCATCCTGCTGTTTGAGACCACTCTGATTTTGTAATGCAGGCCGAGTGGAGACCTTCCAATTAGGGGCCCCTTCACTAAGTCCCCTAAGTCTTGGCCATTTTTTTTTTTTCCTATTCTAGTACTTTGACTTTTTCCTTGATTTCTTCAATGACCTTCTCATGCAATCCCCAAGTTGTAGTTCGTGTAGTTCTTACTGTGGTTGATTTCTAGCTTCATTCCAGAGCAGAATACAGATGGACAGCGGGGATAATTTCAGTTCTCTCTGTGTTGACTTTCTAGTTCAGGGTCGGTCCCAGGGCCGCTGAGGAGACTGTGTTTGGGTGTCTGGTGCTTACCTTTCGCCTGCTTGGCCTGTCCCTTGGTGCCAGCGGGGCACTGAAGTCACCCACCATTTAACTCTGTATCTAGTAGTATTTGCCTCATGAAACTGAGAGCAGAGCGCTCCTGCTTTTCACATTAGGATCGGAATGCCAGCCTGAAGGGTTGTTCCCTCAATCGGCATGAAGTGATCTTCCTTACCCCTTTTGATGGGTTAAGCTTGGAGTCTGTTTTGTCAAATATCAGAAGAGCAACTCAAGTGGTCTCCAGGCTGCTTGGGATTCCTGTGGCCTGTCCTTCCTGCCTGAAGCTGGGTGTGTTCCTTGGATGCAGCAGAGGGGAGCCCCTGTGTCTGATCTCCTCCGCTAGTCCGTGCCCTTTGACTGGTGAGCTGAGAACACTAACATCCAGGTATTTAAAGGTATGCACTGTCATTTTGCTGGCTTTCCACTGTGTGGTGTTTTCCCAAACCTCATTTAGCTGTTAGGGCATCTCCTTTATTTTGTTTTACATACATTATGTCCGGACCAAAGTTTTTCCTACCTCCACTCCTCCACCCTCACCCTGAATACCTCTGTTTCAAAAAAAAAAAAAAAAAAAAAAAAAAAAGGAACAGTCCTTCCAGGGATATTGACTGAACATGGCGTAACAGACTACCCAAACACGAGGCACAAACCCTCATATCAGGCTGGATGGGGTGACCCAGTAGGATGAAAGTGTTCCAAGCACAGGCAAAAGGATCAGAGATAACCCCACTCCTGCTGTTAGGATGCCCGAAGGACCCCACACTAAGCAAAGACAACATACAGCGCTGAGAACTAGCTCAGACCCGCACAGGGCCTGCGATTGTCGCTCCAGTCTCTGCGAGCGCTTGTCAGCGCTGCCTCGCTGATTCTGTGGGTTGTTCTCATAGGTCGTCTTCCTGGTTTCCCCTGTAGCCTCCCAGATGCCCTTCTTTTCCAGCCACAGTACTCTGGCCATAAATTCCTCTAGTCTGTTTTTATCAGGGGAAGTTACATTCCTCTCTCAATTATAATTTTGGTTGCTATAGTTGTCTAGGTCTGCAGCTGTGGTCTTTCAGAACTTGAAGCATCCTCCTGAGACATTCTGGCTGTCGGTTTCCAGTGGAGACGAAATCGGCTGCTGGCGGACAGTCTGTGTTATGGCTCTTTTCTCTCCCAGCATCCAATATTCTATTTAGTGATTTGACCATGATGACACAGGATTTTCTTTTCTCACTTATTTCTTGGTCTGTTATCTCTTATATCTGGATGGGGCATCTTTACCCTCTAGAGTTGGAAATTTTTCTTTCAGAGTTTATTGAAGATATTTCCTATGCTTTTGGTATGAAGTTCTACTCTTCTACGTCCACAATTCTTAAGTCTGGTCTTTTCATGGTGTCCCAAAGTTCCTCAGGTTCTAATCAGGTGTCTCTCAAAATTGACCATTTCCTTGATGGAAAAACCCCTGTCAAGTCTTCAAGAGCTGGTGCCCTGTCCTCCAGGTGCCCCTTCCCACTGAGCTTCTGACGTGCTGAAATGTTTGTTTCATGTCACTTCTGTCTTTCATCAGTGTTTTCCTACTGAATTGTTTCCTAATTGACTCGTCAGTTGTTAATGGTCCCTTGGGATTCATTCGCCAGTTCACTCCTGAGCTGTAAATGCCCTGAATAGATTTATAAGCATTTTGAATTCTTTGTCTAAATTTTCTCTAAGCATATCTCATTAGGACCAGTACTGTGGGGGGGGGGGGGGAACACTGTTGACTTCAACTATTTTACAAACATTTTATTATCTCGCCTTAAGTAGGAGGAAATACCTTTAGTTTCTTCCGCTAGTTATCAATACACACATCAAACCCCTTTTCTGTAACTAACTTCTGATTCTTAGAGACAAGAGCTTTTCTGTAGACTTCGCTGTCCCGGATTTAGCTGGCCTGGACTTTACAGAGGTTCGCCTGTCTCGGCCTTCCTAGTGCTGGGATTAAAGGCGTGGCTCACCACTGCTTGGCCTTCTCTGTGTTTGAGAGTCATATTGTCAATTCGGATTAGAAAACCAACAGGATTAACAACCCAAAAAACAATAATAGCAAAGGGCAGCCTTACGCTTTCTCCTTATTGGAGAAGTGACGCACGTGTGAGCCACTCTTAGGGGTGGGAGCAGGACGACCCAGTGGTTTGGGGTCACCCTGAGAGCCCTCCAGGGTTCCAGAGAGCTGCCACCAGGTCCTCCTGCCATACAGGCGGCTGCAGCCTGGAAGGGTTAACCTTCGCTCTGTCACAGGAAAGATCTGCTTTAGCCCTTATTCTGTGCAGCTGCATGGTAACCGAAAGCTGAGAGGCAGCTGGAAACCCGAAGACACTGTTTTCAGCCCAGGGACGAGACGGTCTTCTGTTCGGCATCCATCGTGGGTGAGAAACAAACTCGACAGGGGAAGGAAATGAGCACCCTGGCAGAAATCCTCTCCACAGTCCATCTTGTCAGGAAGGGCCCGTTGGTTCCAGGGCTGACATTATGGGAACGTTAGTATCTGTCTCACAAGCAAATGGCTCTTCCTCCTGTTGCGTCTAGACGTCGGTTGTGAGGTGCAAACAGCTGCAGCCAACAACAGCATTTCATTCCAGCTCATGACACAGAAAGATCGGCACAAACTAAGGGCCAGCCTTGTGTGTACAGTAGAGACCCTGTTATAAAGAACAGCGTTCTTAACTCCTTCTCTCCCAAATACTACCCAAGCACCGTGCCGTTAGAGGCAAACTAAATCCCTTTCTTTTCAAGTCAAATACTAGCTTTTCTGGCAGGATCAGACATTCCTCCTATTGGTTGGCCAATAGGAGGAATCCTTACTGTATTTACATGCCAGAGACACAGAGGCCCTCTGAGTCTGTAGCCTGGTTTGAGTCTAACTGGGGAAGGTGGGGGGAGTTGTCTTGGCCATGTTGAAATGGCAGGGAGCACCCCAGGGAGGACTTACAATTGGCATGGTGGGCAGGGTAAGGTTGTTTTGGGCCCTGAGGCATGTTGTGTAGCTGGACAGCTTGGAGCAGTAAAGGCCCAGCCTGAGGGAGTAAGGGAGAAAACAAGGCAAGCCCACAGGATAAAGACCTGCTTCTAGGACCAACAACCAGCTACAGAGATATTGGAGTGTTAGCACATGAAGGTCTGCTTATTGCAGAGACGACTTGCTGGGGTAGGGATGGACCTCAATGACCTGTCCAGCCACTGACAACCAGGGATGGGAACACAATATATCAAGAAGACATGTTTGGAAAGCAGGTCTTCCTGGACATGTTAAATGTTAGCAGTCCTGGGAATACCAGCACCAGTACTGTAAGGTCCAGAGACAGACTGGGCGGTTGCTCGGACATCCTGAGCTATACAAGGTTTCACAAGGGACAGCTTACTGTCCGAAAGGCACGTGCACAGGTTAAAGGCAGGCAAGGTCTACGCCTCCGCCACCACCCTCCAGCACAAGAGCCAAGGCTCAAGTTAAAAGCTGAAGGACATGAAAACGTGGAATGAGAACCTCCAGATGAAAAGTGGAAGTTCCAGGCCTGACCAACAGATGGCACCTCAGGCCTCGCTGGTGTGCCATTCACTCTGGCAGCATGGTGGCCTGTGAGACCAGCTTCTGTTGCCTAATACTCTTCTTCTGCAGTGAAATTAGCCTCAGACCCGCTGCTGCCTCAGGTCTCCTAGCTCAGGGCATGGCTGTCAGCCCCAGGCAGTGAGCATCCAGGGCGCCTTGTCAAACCCTTGTGTTGACTTGTGGCAAACTGCTTAGCTCTTGGCCTCACACACCCCATCTATTAAGAGTAGTTATTACGACTCACACCTCACCTAAGGTCACCATGATGGCTAGATTGCCTCCGTCACAGCACTTGGCACACACTAAATACTCCTTGTGAGTTACCTGTATTTAAGAGAAACTACAAGGCCAGCTGAAAGGCCTCTGCTGCTCTGGCCAATATAGACAAGCACTCCCTCACTCCAACATTACCTTTGCCGTGTACACAGAGAACAGGCTCACAGTGCTGTCCGGGCACTGCATTTTTAAGTACTGAACTGTCAACTGTATTTTGGACCCTCTTTGGAAATAAACCTGCTGTTTCCTTTGGTCCTACAGCAAGCGTCCCTATCACACTGTTCTAAAGCCCCATTTCCAGAAGCCTTACATCACACAGCTCCCGTTCAACTATGGCTTCCAAACCCAAGGCCGACACACACTACCTCATAACCCAGTGGAAACCTGACCTGCTCAGCTACGGCCCCCAGCACATCAGGCATGCACTGAGGTAACAGCAACACTGAAGAGAACCCAGACAGGAGGCATGCTGAGGGTAGTCCAGCACATTCACGGCTCTGGGTTTTTCTTAGCACACCTGGACGGAACCCAGCGATTCCCAGCATTTGAGCCAATCTTACTCCTTTTGAACCACTTTGAATACAGAAACAAATCTCACTAAGATATAACTCAAAACTTCAATAATATTTTCTTTATTTACAAGTTAGAATCAAGAAGACAGACAGTCTGGGGCCAAACGGAGGTGACTAAAATCCCCAAGCCCCAAATGGAGTGGAAGGAAAAGGGAAGAGTAGAAAAAAAAAAGTCAATGTAAAAAAAAACCAGCTCCCTCTTTTCTTCCCTCCCCATGGAGGCTGGAGGGAGGACCACGGCGCTACTGGACCCCCCCAACAGCCTTACCTAGCTTAAATAAATTAAAACCTCAAAACAGGGCCCTTAGAAGTGAACAGGACAGCAGTGGCCTCAGGTGGCTTTGTGCCAGGCCTATGCCCACTCCCACCCTTGCCCCGCCCCCATCATCCTCAACAGGGACACCACGAGGTCACTCCCAACAGGGCTAGGAATTCAATCTTATTTTGTCCATGTCCCTGATTCCTCCCCACTGCAGAGCCAGCTCTCCTATGGAGGGGGGCGAGATGAAGAAGTGTCACAGCAAGGGGAAGTGGTGGGGAAGGGTGGTACAGGGGTCCGGTCCTGCGGAGCCTTCCTGCCCCATCTGGCCTGGCCCCTTAGCCAGAGTCCGAATCGCTGGTGTCTGAAGAAGATGAAGATGAGGAGGAAGAGCTGGAGTCTGAGCTGGAGCTGGACGCGCTGAGGCGGGACACCGCGACTTGCTGTGCCGATGACGGCTCCGTCTTCTCAGTCGCTGCAAAGTTAAAAGGTTGAAAATGAGACACCCTCATCTGGCACAGAGCACCTGCCCGGCAGTGGTGGCGCTGGGCAGGCCTGGTGCTTCGGCATAAAGGAGAAGCACCCACCCTTCTTGGGGGGCTTCTTGGCAGAGTTGAGCTGTCCACTGACGTCTTGCAAGCGCCTCTCTAGTTCCCGCTTCTTCTCCAAGGCCAGCTCCTCCTTTGTCTTGCCCACAGGTTTCCTAATAGCTGGAGGACAAAAAGCCAGGACTCACACTATTGAAGCAGCCCATCCATCCTGCCGGAGTGTGGCCTGCCACGAGACCACAGACAGCCCACCTCTGCGGTCCTCAGAACCGCTTCTGCGAGCCGTGTGGATACTCACTGTAGGGCTTCCGGGGCTTCTTTCGAAGGCAGGATAAAACGTAGCGCTCAAGCTCTCTAAGTGTGGATGGCTTGAGCGTTTCAAAATCAATCTCGATTTCTTCCGGATTTGAATCACGTAAGGAGGGCTCCCTGGCCTGGATAATATGTACCACTCTACCCAGCTTCTCTCCAGGCAATTTATTGATATCCAGGCTTAACTGCCTCTTCTCATCGTAACTCATGGGCCTGCTTTCTTCCTCCTCCTCTGAATCGTAACCAGTGGGCAGGACAGGTGCGGCTGTCTTTTGGGCCTTTTTAGGCAGCCTACGGGCAAAAGAAAACCATCAGAGTTCACTACACACACACTGACCTATACAATACCCGAAACTATGTAGGTCTTAGGTGCTCACTTGTTGCTACTTCCTCCAGACGTCCCAAAGCCAGGGTGGCCTAACGTAGCAGCACTGCTACTACCGCCAGCTTTCTTAGATTTCTTGGACTGAAGCGGGCGAGGTGCCCTAGACCCCTTGTCATCTTCATCAATCCCAACTCGGCCCCGATGTTTCTCTGCCTTCCGTTTCTTCTTTTTTTCCTTTTTCTCTCTCTTCCGCTTGGGCTTAGATATTGGGCCCTGGGATAGGGCCGCCAGTTGTTCATGAACGGCCCGAAGCTACACAGGAAAAAAGACAAAGTGAGTTACGACCAAGAAACAATTTGGACCAGAGTTCAAAGATTTTACCTGATCAAAGACCAAGACCTAGTGATTTACCTGCTCCTGCAGTTCTGCCAGGCGATGGGCCCTTTCTTCCTCAGAGTCTGAGCTTTCACTCTCTTCCTCCTCCTCATCTTCCTCATCCTCCTCCTCTTCCTCGGAGGAACTCTCACTGCTACTCTCTTCACTCGAGGATTCTGAGGATGACTTGGCCAGCCCAGGAGGCAAGGCAGTAGAGACAGGTAAAGGTCCTGGCTCCAGTGGCTCGTCCGGCATCTTGGCATAGCGGAACTCAAACACATCCTACAAAAACAGGTGGACTCAAAACTGTGCTCACCACCCGGCACACGAGCACCACCCTACGATGAAGGAGAGACAAGCCTTCTGCGTGTGTTTTACACGCACAGCAAGCACAAACGGAACCTCCCGTATAGCCAGTCACCACGGAAGTGTCGACTTCCACTCACCTGTAGCTTCCGAGCCATGGCCACAACATCGTGGTCTGGAGGATTGTACTTATAGCAGTTGGAGAACATGAGCCGCACATCAGCAGCAAACTCCTGTGCATCCCGGTAGTCGCGGTTCTCCATCTTCCGCTGCAGAAGGAGGCAGCGTGAGAAGCTGCACAGGCAGAGACTCATCTTTCCCTGCCAACCCGACTCAAGAGCAGCCCTTGAAACAACTGGGGGTGACCTTAAGGATCTGTGCCCCAGGATTCAAGTTTGAAGGTCCAAGGATTTGGGGTAGGTTTGAAGAGATATCTATGTCTAGAAAGAAACATTTCTAAGTGACCAAGGCCATCTCCCCCCATCACATTTCCCTAACCCAACTCTTGGTACTGTTTAAGAAATCTTACCCTTACTTAAAAAAACAAGACTTCAAGTATGTGACCTTCTGCATTGTACAACTTTATAAAGGTACCCAGAATGAAAAACTATGTGTTCACAAAGAGATGTATATACTGCTTTATTCATCCCTAGGCGCCAATCACTGAACATCCCATCTGCCCCATGCAGTGGGTACCTTGACAGTGCTGAGGTCCATGGGGTGCTTTATTATGTCATGGTAATCATGAAGGCCAAGGGCAGAAGCGTCCACTGGCTTATAAAAAGGCCAGGCATAGGCAGCATGCTTCTTAGAGAGCAACTCCTTCAAAATGCCATTGCAGTGCTTTAGCTGTTCCGACAGCTTTCCCTTCTTGGAACTCTGGTGTTGCTGTTGCGAGTCAGGCAAGTCTTTTCGTGGGGGCTTGATGGGGCGGCCACTTTCTCTGCGCATAGGAGGAAGCCGTGCTGCCTTTGGCTCAAGACTCCCAGGAGGACTAGCTGGGGAGCCAGGAGCCAGGATGGCTGTAGGTGTAGGGGTGGTGGTATCTGCTTTCCGTTTAACGCCTTTTTTCTGTAGGAAGGTGGGGGGAGAATGGGTCATTCCAGGTCCGTTATTTCCTTTGACACTTTCCCTCCCAAGTCACCCCGGACAACCGACTGATGTTATACCTTGGCAAGGGGCTGCGCTGGAGGAGCTGCTGACACAGCAAGGAGTTGGGGTCCAGCAGAATGCAGGGACTTAAGAAGGGGTGAAGAGATGACCGATGGGTGGGGAATGTTGAGGACAGTGGTAGGTATTTCAGGCGGTGGTGTATATAGGGCTGTATGAGACACAGAAGAAACAGCAGGCACCTGATGGGCACTGGTAATACTGCCCTGGAGTGCTTTGGGGGAAAAAAAAAAAAAAAAAAAAAAACAAGTTTTACATCAGTCTTCTAGTTAGATCACCTGCCCAGCTTCCACCTTTAGGTCACCTGAATAGCTCTACCTCTTCCTACCTGCTAGCTTGGCCCCCTTCTTATGGCTGTTCTTCGGGACGGTCACCACAAGCTCTTGCTCCTCCTGTGGCATGGAAGCCACCTTCTGTAGGAAGATCTTTTCCAGTGTCTGTGCCATCAGGACAATGTCGTCAGTGGGCTGGAGAACAAACCCAGGAAAGGCTCAATTGCTAGCATAAGCTTGTCAAGAATCCCCAGCCCCAGGGCACCACACCTCTCAGATTGCGGTCACTAGTGCTTAAGGTCGAATATCAAGCTGACCTCCCACCACCTGGAACTGCAAGAACAGAACCGAGGAGCTACAGATTGCGTTTTTCTCAGGCCTCTGGAGAGCTTTCTGAGAAACAGGGCCACCATCCCCCCCAAATATGAAACGTGCTCTACTTAAACGACCTTTAATTATAGGAACACTGAAGCTGCCATCTGTCTAACAGCACCATGTGGAGGCCAGGCCCTTCTTAGAGCCTGACAGTCGGGATAGCATTCCCAGCAGGGCTAAGACTAAACACCACCACCAGAAAACTTACCTTGTTATAAATATAGCAGTTGGTAAACATGGTATTAAAATCCTGCATACACTCTGAGGCAGCCCAGTAGTAACTGTTTTCAAGTCTCCTCTTAATAGTACCCATGTCCATAGGCTGTTTTATAATTTTGTGATAATCCTAAAGAAAAAGAAACTCTAGGTCAGAGCCACAGGAAAATGCCTACCTCAGGGCAACTACCAATAGGAAAGACAGACACACGCACCCACACGCACACCCTAGCCATTCCAGGTACTGCCCATACTGCGGCCCCAGTTCAACTACGGGTTAGGAAAGTTAAGAGAAATTTGTAATTCCCACTAGGACGTCCCTAATCGCCTTCCTCTAGCCACCCACCTCCCACCCACTCTGGAAACTTCCCATCCTGTGACATTACCTCTGGGGATGGCTATCCATGGGCTGCATGAGGGAAAGGAAGAAGCTAAGAATTTTGGCCACCGTGGTCCTCTCCCAACCAGGGGTGGGAATCTGTAAAATGGAGCCAGGGCACAAAAGTTAAGGAAGGGACACAGGGAGGGCAAAATGAGAGATGCCAAGATAGAGATAACAAGCACAAAGGACCAATAATCCAGGACCCTGGTGGCTATTTGCCCTAAGAGAATGGGAACTCCCTGGGGGCCGCAGCGCCTATCCGAGTAGCCCGTACCCCCACTCACACGTTCCTGCCATTCCCAGACCTAGCCCCAGTCCAGCCTCTTCTACTCACCGGCAGACCCAGCTTCACAGCATCCACGGGCTGCCGGAATGGCCAGGCAAACTGATGCTTCCAGAGAGCCTTCATCACCACCTTGTGCAGGTACTGCAGCTGGTTTGTTACGCGTCCTGGCTTTTTGGGATTGGACACCTCAGGGGGTGGCGGGTTAGCAGGGGTCAGTTGTATAGCTGGCACAGAAGCCATGGTGGGGCTCTCGAATCCCTCATACAACAGAGAAGGCTTTCGAATCCTTTTCCCTGGTGCTGCTGCCTCCGGGCCCAGCCCCAGCAAACCTGCATTCCCTTCCCCAGGGAGCCTGAAAAAAGGGGAAGCAGAATTACTTGTGGTAATAACATAAAAGATCAAGACAAAGCTGCTAGCTTGCACTACGTAACCCCATAAACACAGGGCTTTGGCTGTCATGGGGCTATGTAGCAAAGTGAATCGCAACCAGAAATCAACTAAAGTCAATAGTGGTTGCCCATCTTTCTCTAGCTTTTTTTAAAATCGAGTTTGATGACTGCTTGGTTAAAATAAATACAAAGCCCTAAAATGTCACCTAACAACTCTAGCCTTAAGGGGAGCAACCTGAAGCAAAATCTGGTGGAGCTAAGGAAAGCGAAGCCTCACCCTCACTAGGGACTTAATGGTTGCCATGGTGGTTGAGACAGAGAAGCAAGTGAAAGAGAACAGAACGGAGGACTAAGCCTCGTGAAGAATTCATTTCACAACCTCAGAGTGAGTTTTTAAAGCCACAGTAAAATCGGCAAAAACCTCTTAACCCCAAGCAACACACGAGGAAACATTTGTCAGACGTCCTTCTGGGTTAATTGCCAGGCCTACGACTGTATCCTCAACAAAACAAGTCTCCTTCAAAACACACAAAACCACCTTACAGTCAAGGTCAGCGCCAGCAAGTCCTAATTTTGATAACACGGTCCTCTACAGAACAGTGCAGTTAACTGCCACCGCAGCTGGCAGAGACCAAAGGCAACAATGGTTCCAGGCTCCCTGTGGTCCTCCCCTAAACCAGGTACTCCCTATAAGACACCAGACCCACATCTCATTGTTTACATCTGCAGAGATGGACTGAGTATCTGCTCCACCCTCTTCCTCACCGAACGAAGCTCAACGTTATCCAAACACAGCCACTAACTACCACTGGAGGAAAGCAAACCTTCAAGGCCCCACCTATGTAGCAGAGGCCTTGGGAGTGATGGATCCCTGTGCGGGAATCCCCTCCATCAAACCCTCAAGCTGTCACCATAGCAACTCTACGGGCACTTCAGTGGCCGAGACCCCCCACCAACACGATGACAAACCAAGGCTGGAACTGCGCACACCCCCCCACCACCCTGCGGTCCAGCTCGGCCTGGCCCGACGGGCCTTTGGCGTCGTAGCTGCGCGGACACCGGCAGGCTGCTCAGACGCAGTACCTGGGCCGCCCCCTCCGCGAGCTCGTCAACAGCTGCTGCGCGGAAGCGCGCCTCGCCCGCCGCTCCCCCGAACGCCGCCCCCCGGCCCCCTCCCACACGCGACCGGCGGAAACGTACTTGTGGGGAGTCACGTTCTGCAGCATCTTGACCGCGGAGAGGCGCCGGTGCTCGGCCGCGTCAAGTCCGGGTGGCCTCGGCTCCGCTCACCGCCGGGCCCAGCATACCCCGGGAAGCGGGGCGACGGCCTCGCCGCGGGCCGGCGCCAACGCCGTCTCCTGCGCCGCCCTCCGCGCGACTCCGCAGCTTGGCGCGCTCCGCGGGCGAGGCGGCGGCCGGAAGATGGCGGCGGCCTCCGGCGGCCGGCCGCCACAGAGAACGCCGTCCGCGCGCTCCGGCGGCCCCGATCCCCGGCACCGTCCGTTCCGCCCGCTGCCGGCTCCCAGGGGCGCCCTCGTCCTGCCGCGGCCGCCGCCGCCGAGAGCCCCGCCGGGCCTCCGGGGGAGGCGGATGGACACCGTGAGGGGCTTCAGAGAGCCGCCGCCTCCATCTTTGAAATCCTCTCGAGGGCGGAGTAGAGGGGTGGACAGACTCCGAGGACTGGGCGGGGCCCGAGAAAGGGGAGCGTCGGGGGCTTCTATGGGGTCTGCACTGTGCGCCGCGAGCGGTCACGGGCCGAGGCGAAGGCCATTTCCAGGCGGATGGACGTGGATTGTACTGGCGGCCCGCGGAGCCTGAAGGCGGAGGATCAGCGCGCAGCGCCCTCCGGCTCGTCCTAGAGGCTGCTCCACTCCAGCGCGAAATGGCGCCGCCGAGCCCCGCGCCAGCGCTTTATATATAGGCGGAGGGGCGGGGCCTCGCCGCTCATGCGCGCCTCCCGGCTCGCGCCTCGCCCGCCCCCTCTGCGCGCGCCCGCGCGCTCCCGCGCCCGAGCAGCGGCGGCCAGGAGGCAGGACCGCCTCTTCGCGGGAGCCTCTCCCATTGGTCCGCTGGAGGGTGACGTCACAAACTCCATGTCCAAGGCGTCCGTCCCCCGGCGGGAGAGTGCCGCAGAGAGCCCGGGCGACGAGGAAGCCCGCCATGTCTCCGAGCCCGTTGGCCGCGCCGTGGCTCGGCGAGTCCCGGGAGGAGGGAGGCCGAGGGGCGTGCGGGCGCCGCTCCCCGCACCTGCGGTCCTCCCGCGCCGCCGCCGCCGCGTCCCTCGCAGTCCCTCGGGCCGCTCGCCCGCGGCAGGCTGATCGCGCCATTCGCAGCTCCCCCACTGGCGGCGCCGGCGGGGCGCGGGCTGGGAGGGGGCGCGCGGGCGGGGCCGGCGGCGCCTGTTCTCCGAGGCCGCCGCGGCCGAGGACCTGAAACGAGGAAGACAGACGCCATCTTAGGAGCCACGGCCTGCTTTTCGGCAGACAACGCTCTGCCCGCCCCAGTACCCCGGCGACGCCGGCCAAGGTGGCTACACGCCACGACCCGACACCGGACTCTGAGCGTCCCCAGACTAGCCCGGCCTCCCCCGAACATAAGCCCAGGGTCTGCTTTAGACACCCCAGCTCTAAAAACAGCGAGGCCAAGCGTCCCCGGGCCGGCGGGCCCCGGGGCCAAGTCCTGCCCACTCGAACTCTCCTCGCCTCGCGCACTTGCCCGCCCGCCCCACGGAAGCTCAAGGCGTCCGCCGGCCCGAACAAACCTACCTTCGCAAACTTTCTCCAGGCCTGGGGCTGGGGAGAGCCGTGCCAGGACGAGCGAGCGAGCGCAGCGCGCGGCTCCTCGGGCCCCTCTCGCCCGACGTGGGCGCATGGACGCCCCCCGCCCCCACCGGCCCCGGAGTCCTCCCCACGGAGCGCCTCTCGCACCGGTCAGCGCCAGGGAGGAGGGCGAGCCGAGGAGGCGGCGGCGCGGCTCGCAGCCCTCCCCCCTCCCCTCCCCCCTCGCCGGACGCCTCCGAGGAGGGGCAGGAGCCATTTTGGGAGCTTGCTCGCCCCCTCCCCCCGCCAGGCCGTCCTGGGATTCTCGAAACGAGACTTGTGTAGCAACAACCGGCCAAGGTCAGAGGGCTGAAGCCGCTCCGGGCTTGTCCCCGCGCAGGAAAGCAAAAGGCTCTTCCCGCCGGACCCCACTCCCCCGGCTCCCCTTTTCGTCCCCAGGAGGGCTGGTGTGCACGTCTGGGCAAGGAAGCTCAAGCTGGTGAGGGGCTGTAAGGCAGGCTCCCGCCCCCCGAATTAGAGGGCTCCCACGGGCCCAGGTCCTAGAGCTGCAACCAGGCCGCCCTCCCTCCGCCGTAGCCCTGGACCTCGAACCTCGGTCACTGCCCTTAACATGGCGGCCAAGCTCTCGTCTTCTGGACCGCAAGATTAGCACAGACCCCGCAAGGCGCAGTGCGCCTCGGAAGCAGAGACCCCCGGCTCCCGACCCGCCAGGACCCAGGCCTCTCGGGTCCCCGGGCGCGCGGCCCCGCCCGGGCGGCTGCGGCAAGCAGGGCAATGACACAGCAACTTTAGAGGCCTCTTCCCCCTCCCCCTAGCGGCCCGGCCTCCCAACGGGAATTTCTGCGTCGGGGCTTCGCGGGTCAGGACCGAGCCCCAACAGGGGGTGGGGGCGAGGGGCAACGTCGGGAGCGGAGGAACTGCTGGGCCTCGGGACGAAAGAGGGCAGCCAGCCGAGCCCGCCACGGCCCCGCATTCCGGAAAGTCTCCGCGCCCCAGCCCTTCCCAGGCCTCCCTGCCCCCACATGAGTCACAGGGGAGGCTGCTGCTGCTGCTGCTACTTAGTAATTTGGGAAAGTAACTCTTTCCTCCTTTCCGTTCCCTCCCCCGCAGCACACAAGGAGGCGACTGTTCGAGGCAGGGGGAGGGGAGGAGAGTGGCACCAGAGCACGCCACCCGGAGAAACCCTAAACCGGGGAGGCCGGCGGTCCCCAGCCTCGCTCCTGCCTCGGACCACGCTTCCTCTCCCCTCCCAGCACCCACCTCCAGCCACCACTCCGCTCCCAGGCTCCCGGCCTGCATTCCCTCCCCACCCCAGGGCAGAGAAAACAGCCGAGACCCGCGAGGGGCCACGCGGGTGGGTACAGTAGGCCCCACAGGCCGCGTCCTCGTGGAAAAGCACACAAATTCCGCCAAGAGTCGAAGCAGAACCTCCAGCACGCCATGTGACCACGGCGGGCCTGCTACCCTTGACACAAAGGGAACGCAGGGACGCGCCTTCGGAGTCCCCGGGGAGAGGGGGAGTCGGCGCCAGGGAACGACACCAGCTCACAACCAGGGCTGCCAACTCCAACGCTCTCGCTGCCCACGGCCCACCGGGTCGCCCTCCCCTCGTCCGCCAAAACGACCCCACCTCACCTGGCTCCAGGTTCCTGTACCCCCAGGGGACGGCCGAAAAGGGGGCACACGGCACCCTCGCCCCTTTGCCCTCCAATGGGTACGTAGGCACGAGGTTGGCCATTCCCCTCCCCCCCGGTGGCCCTTTCGGGCTGGCCCCAGTCCACACTCCCATTGGCTGTCAGGTGTTTGAGAGACAAGTCCCCTCGGGATTTTCTCCCGAACCCCAAGAATTCTCCCCGCTCCCCACCTTTGGTTATGCATTTTCAACGACAGACGGCGCGCCCGCCCCGGGGGCCCCTGCTCACCTGGATCCAGGAACCACGGGGGGGGCCTCCAAAGTCGCCCTCAGCCCGGCTGGGGGGGAGCACGGAATCCGGGGTGTCAACCCCCCCGGAAGCCGAGGCGGCGTTGGGGGAGGGGGCGTAGCCCCCAGCCCCTCCCTTCCCTAGCCGCTGGGGGTGGGGGGGAGGCATCGGGGCCGCGCGGCCACGTCAGCAGCACTCGGAGTGGCTGGGCCGGGTCACGTGCCCGCCCCCCCACGGCCACGAGGGCGAGGTTTGCGAACACCGCCGAGGGTCGTGGACGGGGCCCCAGGGGCCGCGCGGTCCGGGTGTGTGTCCCGAGAGCCCAGCCCCCGCGGAGGCGGCCGCCTCGCCGGGTCCCCGGCCTCCCGCGCGGCTGCCGTCGACCCCGTCCCCCCCCACTCGCCTCTCGGTACGGGCTGAGCATGGCCGCCGCGGCCCCCGAGGCGCGCACTGCGCAGGCGCAGGGGCGCGAGCGGCCCGGGGGAGGCGCAGCGCGCAGGCGCGCCTCCCGGGCGGACTCGCTGCGCG